TCTTTTATAGTGGATGTTACCGTGTGAATTCTTGTTAATACCGCTACCACTGAGGCGGCATGCAAATTGGTCATGAGGTTCAACAGGAGGTTGTGCACAGAGATTCAGAGGTGCAGCTTCAGATTGCCATCCTGCAGTGAGATGTACTGTTGTTATCTTGATGCCGAATTTTAACTGTTTTGCAATCATTCAAACATGGCGTTTGACTGAGTGCTGTTTGATCTCTACGAGTGCTTTGGTGAGGCACTTGCTGTTAGTCACTAGGCTTGAAAACCGGCGGGTTTCGTCTGGTCTGGCCGTTGTAGTCGGCAATTAAACAGCTTGCTACCTGCATTTGAATTACAGTCTGTCAAATTCCACTGATAAAAGTGCCATTCCTTTGATGAGCGTGCACAGTGGAGAGAATGAGGAAATGCCATTCCCAATTACCTGTTGCAGATATTGTGTTCCTGTGTGGTTTTCGTGGTTTGCTATCACATGGTGTGGAGGTTGTTTAGCTAGTCGAATTAAGCACTTTATCAACGAACTTGTCCAACACTTCTCCTCCCTCGATTCAATCCCATTGATAAAGTGCTTAATTCGGCTTAATCTGTTTAAAATAAGCTGAACAAGTTTCCGACGTGTAGATTCTCATAGCATTATGTTGGCTCCCCATTACACGAGAATGCAGTAATCTCCCTTCTTCATTGCATTACTTTACGCAGTACGTTAGGGGGGTGTATTTCTTCGTATCATGAGTTTCTTAGTTGTCCCTTTTATCACCGGATCCTCTAAAGCCATATTGTCATCTTCATGTGCTTGAGTGCTTCCCACTTAAATGTCGACGAGAATATTCTTGAGAGAATGGTACCAGCGATACTAGAAATATTATTCGTCGTGACTTTAATCATGCCTTGGCTTGTGGAATCTAGTCACTTGTCAATTATGGAGCTTTCTCCAAAAAACGGTGTATCGAGCGGTAGATTGGGATTCTATCTGGGTCTTGGATGCATATGAATCGAACAGGTAATGATTACCAAAGCAAAATTACCGGCAATCTGTATTTTGCTAATTTTACTCCGATAAATAAACTACTCCTTATTGTGCGATTAAGTCGCCTTTGCCGCTTTGTACTTCAGCAAGGGTACTCGTCCACTCGCCGCGTGTGTGACGTAAGCGAAGCTTCAAATCTTCGTTCTATTTTGAATGTCAAACACAGGGTGATTCTGTTGCTATTAGCACTGACTCAATTATGGTGGCCAACATTGCAAAAGTTTCGAGGGTAGATCCTTAATTACAAATTATGCTCAAATTCACTATTCACGGTAGATGTCCCCCGCCTAAGATCGGTTGATCCATCATGTTTCTGTATGCACCTTATTATTGATGTTGAGGGTGTGAATAGTAGGTGGAACCTTGCAACCCTTTGACACTTGTATTTTCTTAGAAGGATACGAATACAATAAGTACATTGTGCTCAATAAACGAGTATTGTATTGCGCAAGTTGGGTTTTTTTTGATAGTAAAATTTGTCAGTTTCAAATTAAACTAAATTCTTAAACAATCGCCGTAGAAATAAGGTTTTTGATGTGTAAAACCTTAAAATAGCTGCAAAATAAAACTAGGATAATTGTGTTTGACGTTCACAATACCCCCTGCAGTGAGATGTACTGTTGTTATCTTGATGCCGAATTTTAACTGTTTTGCAATCATTCAAACATGGCGTTTGACTGAGTGCTGTTTGATCTCTACGAGTGCTTTGGTGAGGCACTTGCTGTTAGTCACTAGGCTTGAAAACCGGCGGGTTTCGTCTGGTCTGGCCGTTGTAGTCGGCAATTAAACAGCTTGCTACCTGCATTTGAATTACAGTCTGTCAAATTCCACTGATAAAAGTGCCATTCCTTTGATGAGCGTGCACAGTGGAGAGAATGAGGAAATGCCATTCCCAATTACCTGTTGCAGATATTGTGTTCCTGTGTGGTTTTCGTGGTTTGCTATCACATGGTGTGGAGGTTGTTTAGCTAGTCGAATTAAGCACTTTATCAACGAACTTGTCCAACACTTCTCCTCCCTCGATTCAATCCCATTGATAAAGTGCTTAATTCGGCTTAATCTGTTTAAAATAAGCTGAACAAGTTTCCGACGTGTAGATTCTCATAGCATTATGTTGGCTCCCCATTACACGAGAATGCAGTAATCTCCCTTCTTCATTGCATTACTTTACGCAGTACGTTAGGGGGGTGTATTTCTTCGTATCATGAGTTTCTTAGTTGTCCCTTTTATCACCGGATCCTCTAAAGCCATATTGTCATCTTCATGTGCTTGAGTGCTTCCCACTTAAATGTCGACGAGAATATTCTTGAGAGAATGGTACCAGCGATACTAGAAATATTATTCGTCGTGACTTTAATCATGCCTTGGCTTGTGGAATCTAGTCACTTGTCAATTATGGAGCTTTCTCCAAAAAACGGTGTATCGAGCGGTAGATTGGGATTCTATCTGGGTCTTGGATGCATATGAATCGAACAGGTAATGATTACCAAAGCAAAATTACCGGCAATCTGTATTTTGCTAATTTTACTCCGATAAATAAACTACTCCTTATTGTGCGATTAAGTCGCCTTTGCCGCTTTGTACTTCAGCAAGGGTACTCGTCCACTCGCCGCGTGTGTGACGTAAGCGAAGCTTCAAATCTTCGTTCTATTTTGAATGTCAAACACAGGGTGATTCTGTTGCTATTAGCACTGACTCAATTATGGTGGCCAACATTGCAAAAGTTTCGAGGGTAGATCCTTAATTACAAATTATGCTCAAATTCACTATTCACGGTAGATGTCCCCCGCCTAAGATCGGTTGATCCATCATGTTTCTGTATGCACCTTATTATTGATGTTGAGGGTGTGAATAGTAGGTGGAACCTTGCAACCCTTTGACACTTGTATTTTCTTAGAAGGATACGAATACAATAAGTACATTGTGCTCAATAAACGAGTATTGTATTGCGCAAGTTGGGTTTTTTTTGATAGTAAAATTTGTCAGTTTCAAATTAAACTAAATTCTTAAACAATCGCCGTAGAAATAAGGTTTTTGATGTGTAAAACCTTAAAATAGCTGCAAAATAAAACTAGGATAATTGTGTTTGACGTTCACAATACCC